GTTTGACCAACGGCAATATTAGCTTTTTGTAATTTTCGCTGCATTGACTTTATCATCTTGTAAATATATTTTGCATGTCTTTTAAGTTTGGTTGGTAATGGTTTCGTATATAATTGTTCAAGTAAATTTTTTATTTCAGTGAAATATTCAATAGCACGTGTATCCTTTGTTGAAAATGTATAGTCGGTAAGATTTTTACAATTTTCATCATATAACCGGTTGTATTCTTGATCAATAATTGTTTTCATAGGTTCCCTGGAAAAGAATCGACTTTGGCAAGGTGGTATAAATTTTAAACCTTTATTAATTATAAGCAATTCTGTAGTTAATAATGGTATAACAGTATTTACAAAATATAAAGAGAGAAACATATTTGCCTGATTTCGAAGATTTAATTTTGATTTGCTCCGACGCCATCTTGGTTGATTGGATTGTCTTGTGACGCCGGAGCTACGTCGAAAAAAGATTTTAATTTTTGTTGTGTAATATAATCAGCACGTTCGATCATATGTTTTGCACGTGCTTCAATTGCTACCATTAATTGTTTAAAAATATCGGATGTTGAATTATTATTCTTTAACTTATTGGTCACACTAATTAATTTTGTTTTTTCTTTTTTCATTATTTTCTCATAATACCGAACTTTTTCTTCACCAGCGGCTATACTTAATTCAAGCATATCATATTTAAATCGACCCACTTTTTTTAAACGACGGGCATTTAATATTGTTTGTTGTTTGCTATCATTATTATTCATATAATCTTGTTTGGATCGATTGAGTATTTTATCAATTCTATCTAGTGAATAATCAAGAAGATTAAATGCTGGTGGTAAACAATTGGAATGGATACGATGTTTTAATATTTCAATTTGTTCTTCCATTTGTTTTTTATTATAAATTGCTTTCCATATATTACGAATTGAACGAAGTTGTTGTTGACTTGGTTTTAAATCGTAAACATTTTGTACTAATCGGTGATCTGTTGAGTCTAACATTAACATTTTTTTATTATGTTCAAATTGTTGTTTTAATTTATGTTGACCTTTACGTACAACAGCGGTAACAATTGCGTTCAGTTTTGTAAAATCCAATGGAGGATTCAATTCTGATATACATTGAGGTAATGGTTGATTACCAAAGTTTTGTAATGCTTGTGATGCTTGTTCAAGTTGTCGTTGGATAGTTTTGAGACGTTGTAAAATTAATGTTTTTGATCGACCATAAGTATAATTCATACTGTTCATCGCCGCCCATTTTTTTGATACACGTCCTGACCAAATATTTTGTTGTATACCAATATCATAATAATATTTCCATTGACTTTCTTGTAATTGTACATAAAAAAGACGATGTATTAAGCAAGTATATTGACGAATATAATTTATTTTTTCTGTTGAGTTTAATCTTTTAACAATATTTTTAGCATCGTCTAATGAACTAATTAACATTTTTTTAAATATACGATTTGATACTTTTAAATAATCAGGTATATAAGAAGACTCATTATTATTATGATTATTTTGTTTTTTACATTTTGAACTTTTCTTTTCTGACTTTCCATTTGTGATAATATGTTGAACTTCATTATTTATCATTTTTTGCTTTTTTGATGATGGTGGAGAAATTGTTAATTGACTTAAAGATTCATGAATTGTATTCGATGGTGGTTGTGATGATATATCTCTTTTTTTGCGTTTGTTTGATTTTTTCATTTTACTATCATTTTGATGAATTTTACTTTGTGTCGAATCAGGAACCTAAATCAGCAGATGAACATTTAGAAAAAAGAAAAGAATCAAACAAAAACAAAACATGCTTGATCGGATGTTACATTCACTTGTATTTTGTCTGATGTATCTTCTTCAAATATTTGATCGTGTTGTTCCAAATGTTGAACATTAAGTTCGTGATCTCCATTTCTAGTTACTGTTTCTGTATATAAACCTTTTCGACGAAGTCGTCGACGTTGACGTTGTGCTTTTCGATCACCACGACATTTTTTTTTCTTATTTGTAAGTTGTTCACCCATATGTGATTGTTGTTGTTGTTGTTGTCCTGTTAGCACTTGTGTTGGTGATAATAATTCATGCCATCGACCTTGTGCATCTTGACGAGGAGTTTTCAACGTGTCCAAATTCATAGTTGATTTTTCATTCATTTTAAATATTTTTATCTAGAATGAAAAAAAAAATGAGTTCATTAAAGAAATGATGATGAAACAAAAAAAACTACAAAAAATAACTTCAGTAATCCAAAGTATAACTAGAAACATATACATAAAAAAAAACTATTACAATGGACATAACATAAGTTTTTTTTTATACTATTCAATTTTAACAAAAAGTCATTGTTTTACTTAGCGTTTATTGAGTAGAATAATTGCGACCATCATATACACCGAAACGTTGAAATGCTTTAACCAAACCAGGTGATTCAACAGTGCCATCTTCTTTTATTTTTTCCACAGGTTGAATGGTAGACGGCTCGACATTACATTGTTCTTCATCTTCCATATTTTCAACAGGAGTGTTTTGTCTTCGATGTTCCATATCATCTTCATTGAGTTCATCATAAGATTCGAATGATTGTAAACAAAGTTCTTCCCATTCTTTTTTCTTTTGTTTTTG